TGAGAGAAAAGTCTGATGCCATTCTATGAAGTAGTATGTCTATAAGTATGTAGTATTGGGGGGAGAATTTCTGAAATCAACTACAGTATATTCAGACTCCCAGTTAGTTCCTGTGTTTTTGGCTTCACCTCTTTATTTCTTTGTTGAGTATGAGCCCTTCTTTGAGTTCAGATCATCTTTAGGATTCTATTGGGTAGGACAAGTCATTCCTTTACTGCAGTTGGAAAAGATGTATATTCTAGTTTGTGTTTAAGAGTGAACTGCCTAGGTTCAAATTCCTGCTCTGACCAGTTGCTTATGTCTTAATATTTTCATTTGCACAAGACTACCTATTTTAAGGATTATATGTAAAAGTACTACTATTGCTATTATTCCGCTGTTCTTTTTTAAACATCTTGCTATTCGTATTTCATTGGTTTACATATCTCTTTTGTTGATGTTTCCCCTTATGTCTCTTTTTATACTATTTATTTGCTTAATGAATTCTAGGTAATGAAAAAAACAAATATGTGAGCTCAGTCCTTCTTCTTATACCAGAAGCCAGATATGATTCTTAATTTTAGACAATATTCAGTCATTTATTGGTTTTAGTTTTATTTCATTTCAATAATTTGCATCTTTTAAAAATAATTTATTCTGTTTATATGCATATGTTATCTGTAATGTATGTACCTAGTGATTTAATGACTGAGAGCCAAAAATTAAATAGGAATTTTCTTTTCTATAGATTCTTAGCAATAGTAGCAAAACTGTTCTAATGCTGGTTAGAATTTAAGTTTCTTTAAAGCATTGGAAGCAAAATGAAAAGAGCATCAGCATATTAGAGAAAGCCCCTTGTTCTTTTTGTGTTATATTAAGGTGAAACTTAACAGTTTTATTGCATTTTGTGAAAGACTGCAAAATGAACCAGGAATTAATACTGGTGATGATCATAATGTTGACAGCAGCCAAAATTTCAAAACTGCCTAAATGTACACCAGGCGCTTGATATATAACAAATACTTATTCTTCACAGCAGCTCTACCTCGTAAGCACTTTAGTCCCCATTTTACACAGGAGGAAGCCAAGATTCAGAGCGCTTGAATAATTTGTTCATGGCCACACAGCTCATAAAGCACAGAGATTTCTGACACAAACACTTGTGCTCTGACTATGGACAACCAATCTGAACTTAGGAACCTGTAGCTTTGAAAAACTTACATTAATAAATACCTATTACTGCATCTCCGGTACTTTTGTTTCCCCTTCGCTATAGCTCCTACCTCTCCTGCCACAGAGGTATTGCAGCTACCCAGTAGCTAATGCTTCCATATTCTACTCTCTAAAAGTCCTTGTCACCAACTTTCTCACTGAATCCTCTGCCCTCTTAGAGGCCCAGCTCAGGAATCCTCTAACCTCCCTCGGTGACAGCAGGAACCATGCCTGTCCATGTTGCCCATGTCAAATAGAGTCTCTTGACACTTAATAATAATAGACAGTTAATAACTTTTGAAGAATGAATGAGTGGTAGTAAAGAAAAACGATTAAGTTCTTGATGTAGAAGATAGAAGAGTGACTGTTGCTTAGGCAGAGGGATTTACCAAGTAGAAACTGTAAGATATTTTCCTATAGAGATAATGTTATAAATGGTAATTAGTCCTACATTTCTGTTAGTGTCACTAAAACAGCAGTCCAGCTAACATTCATGTTACATAGTGTGTGTGGATTAATCGGGGTGCCCAACCACCATTTATAAAATGTTTCTATAAGAAAATGCTTTCTGAAGGACAAATAGAAGCGTTTTGAGTGAATTTTTAGAAACAAATAATTTGTAAATTGAAGTTAAGTTCTAAAGCCACTAATTTATTGCTCATCTTTGCATGTGTCTTCTTCTTATTGATTAATAAAGTTATAAAGAACAATGGGATCAGAAACTATGTTCTACTACATAATGATATCACTACCCAAGTCTTTCTTCCTCTCTCTGCTGCTACCCCCACCCAGCATTCGTTATGGTTCCTTCTATCTAATAGGAGGTACTCAAAATGTTTTGTGTATTGAGTGATTTTTAACAGGACTATTACTCAGAACAAAGAATAGTATATCCTGAGATACCTAGGGTTCTTGCTTCAACCAAGCTTTAATTCTGAATTACATAGCAAAGTTATTAATGATCTTTAGAATATGAATTAACTCCAACTTTAAGCGATATGGTTATACAATATTAATAAAAATAAGTAAATTATAATAATAGATCTGATGTTTATCTTTTTTTCGCTTGACTTACGGGTATTATTTAAGGGCAAATGGTCATCGTAAGTTCTAGAAGGCATCCTGGTTTGAAAGACCACCGAAGCCTTGTGTTCTAACCTGCATGTTAAAATATTTCCTCTGACTGGGACAGAGAGGGAGTGACCTCTTTCCAGGAAACACTGTAGAGTAGTGTAGTGCCCTGGGAACATATCTATCCCGCTTTCTGGAAGTAGTTTGTCCTGGAAGAGTTTAGGATAACCTTACCTCTTACCTCTTAGATGAAGGAAGGTCAGGACTAGGGAAGAAGGACCCATTCCACATTTGTTTTTAGTACAGTGACAAAAAGATAACTTATTTCACAAACTACACTATCTTACCTTTTCAGATGTAACTGTGTGGAACCACATAACCCCAGCAACGACACACTGAAGGCATGGAGGGAGTCTAACATTTCTGCCTCTGACATAATTTGGGAGAACCTAACCGTATCAGTAAGTGAAACATTGAAAATCAAGTCATAGCTTGAATCTTATTGCTGTCTGGGGGCTTTTGTTGACATTGTGCATGAATTATTTCCACTAAGGTAGATTTTTTTTGAATGAATGCTATTATAAAAGTGATAGTTTTGTTTTAATTTTAATTTCATTTGTTTCAGGTATTCATCAGTAAACAGATTTTCCTTCATTGTTGCTTTTCTAGTAGTAGGCCTCACTTGCTCTAAAAGCACACATATACAGCTTGATATGACTAGGTTAGCTGAAAGCATATTCAATAAGAATGGTGTTGACCTAAATGAAACCATATGGCAAGACTAAGTTGGCTTTCTGTGTAAAGAAACCAGAATGCTTTTACTTTACTCAGCAGCACTGCTCCAGCTGTTCAGAATATGCTGAGAGAGGGGATGTTTGTCAGTATTTTAGTGTAAATATTGAAGTCTTTGGGAAGAACAAAAGTCACTTTTTTTTTCTTCTCAAAATTCTGGCACCTCTCTGAGGAAGGCCTTTCTTCCGTTTTCTTCTTCTCCCTCACTCAGGAAACAGGATGGCAACATATTTTTCACTTATCAAGATTAAATCCTATACCTTTTAAAGCTTTTTTTTTTTTTTGCTTCTCTCTGCTTTAACTTTTTTTTCTCTCATAGCTGTATTTCTCCATTCTTCTTAATTTATTGTAATATTTGTGCATGTCTTTTTCCATCTGTATTTCCATCCTTTACTTCTGTCCAGTCAAATCTCATAATTGGAAAAGTTCAAAGTGTTCTGCTTTTAATAAATATTTTAAAACCTGAGTCATCCTAGTATCTTTTTTAATCTCCTCAGTTAGAAACATTACAACCCAAAGCGTCTTCCACTTTACCTACTTGTATAAGCCCACATCCCATTATAATCATCAACATAAAGTTATATGAATTCTAGTGCAGTCTATGAAACACACCATTTTAGTAAGTGAGCCAGTTAGTGGAACAAAGAAATCTTTTCTGGTTATACAAATATTATAAAACTTTTTTTAAAATTGAGGTCAATTGTATAATTGACATACAACATTATATTAGTTTCAGGTGTACAATATAATGATTCTATATTTGTATATGTTGTGAAGTTATGACCACAATAAGTCTAGTTACCATCTGTCACCATACATGGTTACCAAATTTCTTGTTCTTGGATGAAATCTTTTAGGGTTTACTCTCTTAGCAACTTTCAAGTATAAACATGATTTTCGTAAGAGCACTTGACCTATTGCCTATTTTCCCCATTAATTGTTTTGTTTAGAATCAGAGTCAAATTACTGACAGTTTGTTTACCTATATTTTACTACCTTTATTCTTATTCTAGTCATTTTCTCTAGAATAAACCTTCATTTACTCTTGTTGTTTTCTTCTGTTATGGTCAACATTTATTCTGTTCCGTCTGTTTTTTCCCTAGAAAAATAACATTGCATGGTTTATCCATTCAATGGATAACCATTGATAACCATAACATGTTTTATCCATCTAGCAGTGTATCTTCTATTTATATTTTCCTTTTGTAGTCTCTAAGGATATTATGTCTAAAGAGTCACTTACTTGTATTCCTCATCTTGGTGTCCCCTTCAATGCCGAAACCCAAATAATCCCATCTCTAAATTATTTAGCCTGACAGTTTACTCTCTGTGTTTTATGTTTTCTGAGTAATTTAATGCAAAATAGCAATATGCATTCTATATAGTAGCAAATCCTGAATTATAGCCTTCTAAAAGACTCACAGAGTGTTTGATATGGCTAGCAGCTAGCTAGCCATGAGTTAAGTTTTAGATATTAGAAGTTTTAGGGTCAAGCAGAATACAGTGAAAAGTATTTTGCAATCAAAGCAGATCTAGCACTGTGGGAGTTTTTTAAAGTTCTGTACTAGGTGTTAACATTTTGGAAGAAATTTTCATATTATTTTTTATTAGTTAATAGCAGTTTTTGCAATGGATAATTGCTAATCTTAACCAGAAATAGCCTTTATCACCAAAGGGAATGCTACATAATAAAAAAAATTTTGTACTTTTTAAATTAATGAAGATCATTAAAATGATTTTTTCTTTTAGTTGTTATGCTGGGTTTTTTGGTTTCTTTTAGCATAATCACAAATATCACCAAAAGTATTTTACTAATAAAGCTGTGCTAATGGCTACAATAACTACTTTGTAAAAATAGTAATGTAACATTTACTTTACATATTATTCATTTGACAGATTTTTTAAATTGAATTTTTACCTACCTCGTGAATTAGCTTTCTTTGATTTTCCCAAACTGCTATGTGCATAGTAAATATTCCATAAATATTTAATGATTATTTTGGAAAAGTAGCCCATATCACAAATTTTCTGTTTAGCACAAGTCTTTTGCTTTGTTTATTTTGTTTTTCAACTTTATTGAGGTATAATTGACAAAAATTATATGTAGTTAAAGTATACAACATAGTGTCTTGATATATGTATGCATTGTGAAGTGATTACCATAGTCAAGTTAATTTAACATACCAATCTGTCACATAATTGCCTTTTTTTTTTTTTGGTGAGAACAATGAAAATCTATTTTAGCAGATTTCAACTATATAATACTGTATTATTAAGTATAGTCACTATGCTGTGCATTAGATCTCCAGAACTTACTCATTCTGCATAACTGAAACTTTGGATTGTTTGACCAAATAGCTCCCCATTTCTCCTTCTTTGCTCATCCTGGTAGCCACCATTCTACTCTCTGCTTCTATGAGTTTGACTTTTTTGGATTCCACATACAAGTGAGAACATGCCATGTTTGTCTTCCTGTGTCTGGCTTATTTCACTTAGCATAATGTCCTCCAGGTTCATTCATGTTGTTGCTAAATGACAGGATTTCCTTCTTTTTTAAGGGCGAATAATATTCCTTTGTATACTTACACCACATTTTCTTCATCCATTCATCCATCCACAGATACTTAGGTTATTTCTGTATCTTGGCTATTGTGACTAGTGCTTAATGCAAGTCTTTTATGGCAGGCTAGAACGCTTCAGTTTCTATTTTTATATGTATTTTTTAGCAGTATCTCAAAACCATCCGTGCAAAGGAATTCTTAGGCAAAGTTTAAAATTTTCACAAGCAATTAACTAGTAATTGGCTAAGAATTGTGTCATTACATATTTAGCTAGTACATACATAAGGGGCAGGATACTAATGACATGTTTACTTTCTTATTTTATCAAACTTAATTTTTACTGACTTATGAAATTATTGATATTTAGAATGTGTTTGAAGAATAATTAGTAGAAATGAATTTACCAACAAGCATTTTTTTTTTATTTTGTAAGTGAAACCATATGTCGGACTCAAAATAAAAAAACAGAATTTAGATTTGGTTTTTACTTCTAAATCTTAGGACGTGTGTGTGTGTGTGTGTGTGTGTGTGTGTGTGTGTGTGTGTGTGTTAGGGGTTCAGTTAGCATAAACCAGAAAACAAATGTAGAATTTAGTAGATTATAATTTTTTTAATTAACATTTTGTTAATGTTAGGAATTAAAAATAAATATCCTTTTTAAATTTGCTTTGAATTCAAGTACCTTAACAAACTATTGGCAATTTATTATAGATTGTAAGACAGTTAAATGATCCTTTAAATGGCAAGTGGCATCTATGTTCTTAAGAATTGAGAGCAGGACCCAGCCAAGTCCAAAGAACATTTAGAAGACTTTTATGTCTGCACAAAAGACTGAAGATAACCACAAGTCTATAGACAATGCGTTTACAATAGGGCCTCCAGCTTCTCTGCGTTTAGGGGCTCAGCTCGCCCGCCCATGCCTTTGCTTAGTAATTGCCCTACTAGCGTCTCTGAACAGGGGCAAGAGAAGGGACTGAAAAAATGCGAACATTCATTTTTGCTACTTTATCTATTTTTACACAGTTTTGAGAAAAAAAATTAAAGCTATAATTAAGGCCTGGGGGATTTTTCTTTGGATTTTCAATTAGCCGAGTTATTGTACTCTGTATTAGCTTAACATGGATAACTGGAATTTAACCTTAGCTAGCAGGGAAATTATAGCAGTTAGATGAGAAAAGGGGACAGCACTCTTTTAGATCATTATAAGGTGTACTAACAATATTTCTTAAGAAGCCTACCTGCCCCAAGTAGATGTACTTAGCTGTTTATTTTTGGATAACAATGTAGCTATCTGAGGTTTATTCTAGAATCTTTTGAAAGTATTTGTTTTCTGTTGTACAAGGACTCCAGGGTCTGAGGCTTTGTTCATTGGGCGGACTCTGTGTTGGTAGTCAATCCATCAGTCCGTATTTTTCTTTAAGATCTCTCTGTACCACAGCACAATTCCATTTCTGTTCAGGTCCAGAATATCTTAAGGATTGATGAGGTCACTGGTTCATTTTAAACCATTCTTTTCTCTGTTAAAAAAAATACTTTAGTAATCTCATCTTTAAAACAAGAGAAACCAAAATGATTTTAAATGACGTTTTCGATTCCAAAATATTAATGTGTAAAATGCTCAGTTTTTCTTAGAGAAAGAAAATGTTTTTGACTTTGCTGCCACCTCATGGCTAAGGCAGTAATTAGAAATGATCCTTCAGGGGCTTATAAAAACATATACCAGGAAAAAAAAAAGACTGTGGAGAAGTCATAGTAGGTTTGAGCTTTGCCTTGCTCATGCAGTAACTTTTTCTCTTTTGTTCTGTAATCTAAGTTCGAGCCCCATCTTTGACTCACAATTTCATTGCAGTAATAATATAATTTTCTTGTTGCCTTTCTCATCTTTTTGGGTAACTTTTGGACTAGATAATTTTACAGAATATTTGTTCTTCTTTAATATGCAATAATATTCCCACCATGGGCACCATATTTGTATCACAGCTCTACTGCCACCCAGCAACAGTGAGGCCACAGCAAATTACTTAACCTCTCTATGTCTCAGTTTCCTCAGATATGAAATAGAAATAGTAACACCTACCTATTTTATAAGTTTGATATGAAAACTAATTAAGATGATGTATTTAAATGGTTTTGCATAGTGTCTGACCCTGGTAACCACTCACTATCAAGTATGATATATTTTCAATAAATCTGGTGTTAGGAACTTGGTCGATATTAGGTTAAATACACATTGATTGGTAAATAGATTAGTTTTGTAGACTTAATTAGAAAAAGGCAAAAGCTTAAAAAGTGGTTCATGTCCAGATGTTACCTAATCTTAGTCTTTGATGTTGCTTTCTACTAACCGATCCAGATAGAATTTGTACAGCTTGCTTTGCTGTTCGTTAAATCATTGTGAGAGCCATAGATGGAAAGCTTCAGCATCTCGACTTCAGTTGATCTTCAGATGTTAGATTTTTGTAAGAAATGTGTCCATTTTTCTTAATAGCTTCATTTGTTTTACCTCCTCTGGCAGGAATGCAAATCATTGCACGGAGAGTATGTTGGACCAGCCTGCGGCCACGATCATCCATATGTTCCAGATGTTCTGTTTTGGTCTGTGATCCTGTTCTTTTCCACAGTCACTATGTCAGCCACCCTGAAGCAGTTCAAGACCAGCCGCTATTTTCCCACCAAGGTACTTAAACTACAGTTTTCTTGATCAAAATGTAAAGCTGCAGAAAGCATGTTATAAAGTCATTCCTGCTTTAGGACAAAAGAAAGCAATTGCTGTGATGAAAGGAGCCACTAAAAGGCTTTCACGTTGAGTGAGCTGCCAGGTTAGGAGTGGAGTTATTTGATAGGAGGGAAGTGAAGAGAAAGTATTTTTGATACAGGTGCTAGAATTCCCCTTCCCCTCAGGTTTTTCTACTTAACCTCAAATCCCAAAGATAAACTCCCACTTATGATTTTGGAAATCGAAAGCACACACTGCATCACTGATTGTCACTTTCTTGTCCAATGAATAGTGGGAACTATTCCAGCCTGACAGATACCTCGTTGGAACCACTGTTACATTCTTTAATTGGGAAAGCCCCTGCGAAACTCATTGGAACACTAGTATCTTTTTCGTTTTTAAGTGTCAGTCCCTCTCCCTAACCCACCACGTTTGCATCTGCATATTTGGAAAAGGAAGTAAACAGAGAAACAGCTTAGTTCAATATTTAACACTGCAAAGTAACACCTATAATGTCTGACTCAGCCAATAAAAAACAAGAAAATGAGCTTTTTATGGGTGAGCTAAAGATTATAATCAAAATCCCACCCTGAGAAAGTGTTTCAAGAACTGTTTCTTCCACAGAAAACTTCTGTTTTTGTCACCTCCTCCTTCAATAAGGTGGAAGATTCATTTCCTCCTCTGGGATTTTAATTTGATTAACTTATTTTTTGTAACTTGAAAGAATAATCTCCTGTATTTTTATGTGTGTTTCATAAAGGCATCCTAATAAAGAAGCCAGAGCTTTTTATTTTATTTTATTGGGGTGACAATGGTTTGTAAAATTACATAGGCTTCGAGTGCACAGTTCTGTAATACATCACCTATATATCACATTGTGTGTTCACCACCCAGGGCCAGTTCTCCTTCCATCACCATATATTTGACACCCTTTAACCTCTTCTATCATCACTCCTCTCCCCTTACCCTGTGGTAACCACTAAACTATTGTCTGTGTATTTGAGTTTTTGTTTCTTTATTTGTTTGTCTTGTTCTGTTGTTGCTTTCAGTTTTATATACCACATATCAGTGAAGTCATATGGCTCTCGACTTTTCTGACTGACTTATTTTGCTTAGCATACTAATCTCAAGATCCATCCATGTTGTCACAAATGGCACTATTTCATCTTTTCTAATGAGAAGCCAGATCTTGTTGATAACTGTATAAGTATTTTTGCTTAAAGATGGCTTTATAAATGAGAAATGGTTTTAAAAACTGGCTTGCATAAAATAACTTTTAAATTTGCCCACTCTGTTGTGCACATCCCCTGGCACCATACTTATATCCTAGATAAATTAACTAAAATATGCTTCTTCAATAAAAATAATTTTATTTTATGGTGCTTCAGGTTTATCATGTTAAAATGTTGCTTGTGTGGGAAAGAATCCTAAAATTCAGCCAACTGCTGGTCATGCAACCTTATTCTATGTTCTAAATATTCACACATTTGGGCTCATAATAAATATTAAAAATAAATATTAATAATAGCACAATCACCATTATAGCTCTTCCACAATGCTTCATTCTGGAAAGGTTGATTGTGTATCCATTTTAATGACAGAGATACATAAGTATATATTCAGGTTCTGACAGAGCTAATGGTAATGTTATAGTAAGTATAAAATATATCATGATGTTATGTCATAAGGTGTTTATAAAGCCTGACTGTAGATTACAAGTCTGTTCCTGAGTGCACCTCACTTTTGTAGTTCCTTCTGGTGACAAACTTTTTCATTATTTTTAGGTTCGATCCATAGTGAGTGACTTTGCCGTCTTTCTTACAATTCTGTCTATGGTTTTAATTGACTATGCCATTGGGATCCCATCTCCAAAACTACAAGTACCAAGTGTTTTCAAGGTGAAGTTATCAAAGCATTTACTATTTGTCTCTCCATCTCTTTAGGTCTGATCTTCACTTAGATGATGGCTATAACCCTAGTACTTGGGATTTTCATGAAAATATAAAGAATATAATTAATAAGCAGTAGATAAAATGCCTACAGCATGACTATAATTTTGGTCTGATATTTAAAAAAAGGAACCACCGAAATAGAAACCTAGAGGCCACTTGAAAATATTTTCTGTCACTTTTTGAGTTGGACTATCTATATACAACACACCTAAAAGATAAGGAAGCATTTTTTTTGAGATTTTTTTTTATTGGGGAATTGGGGGGATTGGAACAGTGCTGGGGAATTGGGGTAAGGGGAACAGACAAGTTGCTGTCGTTTTGTTCTTCAGTCTAGTTGTGGAGGATGTTGCTTCACTGGCCCAAGTTGGCACCATCATTGCGCTCTTCCCGGGCGAGGCAGATCAGTCGCCGGCTTCTGGACGGCTTCTCACTGCGGCTGCTGGCCGCTCACGCTGGCTGCTGGCTACATACGGTAGCCCATGGCAATCCACTGCCACAGGGTCTGCAGCCTACACCGTCGCCGGCGACTCACGGCAGCCCAGGTCCAGGTTGAGCTGTTGTTCAGCATCTTAGCTGTAGTGGGCAGTGTCACTGGCCCTCATATGTGGGATCCAAACCGGGGCCCTCTGGCATCCCAAGCCAGTTCTTAACCATCGCGCCACTCAGCCAGCCCAGGAAGCATTTTGAAACTAAGGGAAATGCATTATCTTGATGCAGAATTGCACAGTAGATAGGGGCTGAAAAACAGATAAAAATAAGTCTGGAATAGAACTGTGACAATGTCACTAACTGATTATTGTGACCTTGGGCCAGTTACTTAACCTCCCTGAGCCTCAGTTTTCTTGCCTGTCTAACAGGGCTGGAAACTTCCTCATAGAATTATTGTCAAAATGACTTCCTTGGGGACTCATCTCAGGCACCAGCCATGTTTAGAACCTTTCCCCTGAGCCCCTGATGTCACCAAGCGTCTTTTTGCTGTTTTCACATAATGGCCTATGCATACATCTAAAATAAGAGTTAAACACAGTTTTCAGCATGCTATTTGTAAATGGAAATAAATTTTCCAACTGTAAATGGTAAATATTATTTCATTTAATATAGATATTGATTAAGAACACACAGCTTGAGCCAGTCTGTCCAAGTTTAAAACCTATCTCCACCACTTACTAACTCTCTATGTTTTAGTTTCCTTATCAGTATCTTCTTTAGAGTGTTGTCATTGAGTTAAAATACAAAGAATGGTCCCTGGTACTTTATAAATACTTTGTAAACATTAGTAGTAATTATGAGGTGTGGTCAAACAATACGATGAATGTTTAAATAAAAAAAATGTATTACAGTAAAAGACACATTGCCATTAAGGCCCCTCACAATACTCCCCCTTGCTTCAAACAGTCTTATCCCATCATTCTTGCCACTTTCTGAAGCAGTTCTGAAAGTCCTCTTTCTTGTATGTCTTTAGTTGCTCTGTCATAGCTGCCTCCACGTCCTGAACCATTTTGACTTTGGGGAAGAGCCAGAAGTCACATGGTGCCAGATCTGGTGAATAAGGTGCATGAGGACACACCGTAATGTTTTTATTTGACAGAAATTGCCTTATACCAGAAGTGATGTGTGACACCGAGCATTGTCGTGATGGAGGATGATTTAAAGCACACTTTAAAACACAACTTCTCTCAACCGTAGCTCATACCCGATTGACTACACTGAATAAGTTAAAACTTGTCGCACACT